AAGAAGAAGAAGAAAAAACGCAAACGATAGATAGCATTCTTTTCATTTCCGTTATGATGAACATTAGAAAACTAGACTTATTAATATAGAACAACAAAAGAAAATCTATATCATGTTCTATTTACAAGTGGTCAATTATAAGTCGAGCTTTTGATTGAATAGAAAGAAATTGTTTTCTATTATATTATCAATGTTTATTAACAGAGACATAAAAATTTCGAAATTATTTGTTGTTTTGTTGAATTGTCAACGAAATTTAATTAGGAAATACAAAATATGACAGATGCTTTCCTGTTAAATAACAAATTCACTTTGTTTAGAATGGGCATAAGTGAATTGAAGAGCGAAACTTGTGAATATCTTCTGTAAAACATGACTTTCTGTCAAGTGACTATTTTTTTTATCTGATATGAAATTCGAGGTATTTTGTAGATCTACATAATTATAGTGTTGTTAATTATAGATTCACTAGTATTTGACTTTAGATAAGACCATTCTTAGTAATTATATTTGATGTAAATTGCATACTGTATAATTATTCAAAAAACCTAACATTTTGTAAGTAAATTTTAGTTTTCATAAATATTTTTACATACAAAAGAAATGAATAAATTCATCGATGGGAACAAATATGTTTCTTTTTACTTTAGTGTAATTAGTTTTTTCCATGAGAGAGTTAAATAGAAACTCGAAATTATCAGAGCATTAAACCATGTTAGTTTTCTATTGATAGAAAAAAAAACTTTTTTCATAATTAAATCAATAATATTGATCATTTTAATATTGATTACAATTGAACGGGTCAATTATAATCAATATCGAATTTTTAACTTGTCTTTAAATTGTATGCCAATAAAACACGATAAATTTTTTTCAATCGTATACTGTTAGAATAACAAGGCAAACATATTCAAATAAAATTGAAGACTTTGATAGTATTAAAAATACTTCATGTATCAATAAACAGATAATAAATGATATAACTATGATGTTTATTCAACTGAATCTTTATCAGCTCATTTTGAACATGAAAATACTGTAAATTATCGTATTAATTGAATGATTATTATTGCAACTTGAATCTTTAATCGACAGCAAAAATACCCAAATGGTTTCATTAAAATAGCAAATAAACAAAATTTCAAAATATTATTGATTTAAATTGAATTACTCCATGGAATCGATTGGCCTGTAATTGTACGAGCTTGATCAGTGCATAAAAATAAGACAAGATCAGTTATGGTTTTTATGTGATTATATTGTTCAGAGACATTTGCTTGTGTATAACCTATATAAAATATAATGTATATATATACAAAATAAATATTTTAGCTACTGTATACTTGGACAAATAATATTAGAAGTAATTCCATAGGAAGCACCTTCAATAGATAACGCTTTATTTAATCCCAATAATGCATGGTGTGAAGTAATACATGCTGATTGATATTCACTTGCAATTTGACCGTGTTCATTTGCCTAAAATTGAAGAATTAGTGAATATCATAGAAAGTTAATTGACGATTTTTGATTATGACACGTAGTATAGTTATTTTTTTGTTACATTGGAGGACACGTACAATATCAATTTGTATGTATAATTTATGTACTCATATATATATATATAAGGTCAAAAAAACATGGCGAGTTACTTAATATTAGAAAGATCATTATAGGAAGATTTATTAAAAATTAAGTACTCACAGAACACGGATGTCTGTCAAGTAGCAATTATTTCCTTATAGCTCAAGTGTTTGTTCTCTAATCAAGATTATTTTTTTGAAGCGTATAATTAAAAAGTTATGAACAGTTAGCTTCATATACTGAGAATTTAAACACGTTAATCGATATTGTATTCTCGTAGTTTATCTAATTTTTGAAAATGGCCAAAAAAAAGATAATTGATTTTTTGAAAATATCTCTTCGCTTCCGTTAAAAACGATGTAATTCATTTATTTTCCTTGATTAGTCAATCTATATACTTACAATATGAATAATTCTACCAAAATGTTGTCGTTTCATATGAGGCCATAATGTTTTAACTAGAGTAAAATTTCTTGTAAGATTACAATCAATAATTTCTTTCCATTTTTCAATTGGAAATTCTTCAATCGAAGCTCTATAATGTTGTCTACATTCATGATTTATAATAAGAATATCAATATGTTGAAAAGAATTTAATATTTGTTCAACTAATTTATAAATATTTATTTCATTTTGAATTTGTTCTGATAAATACATAATTTGATTTTTTCCATATGTATTTTGAATTGTTTGAATTATATTTTCATCATTTTGTTTTCCATTTAAAATAATATTACAACCTTGTTTGGCAAATTTATGTACAATATTTAATCCGAAATCATTTAAACTACTTAAAATAAATGTTGTAAGTCCTTTCATGAAGACACACAAAAACGAAGAAGAAGAAGCTAATGTTTGTTATTTGTACTAACAAAGATAACAATTCACCTTGACTCTTTCGAATCTATTTTAACTCATAAATAATTCACGTAGATAACCACATTTAACGAAATCATGGAATTCTAAAGAAGATTTTTTTATATCGTTTTTTTCTATTAGAATATTTTTTACCTTTAAATGATACATGATTAGTTCGACTGGGAAATATTTGACGAAGATTTTCATTAAATAAACTTTGTTTATGCGTATTAAATCCTTGAAGTAATATTAAAAGTGCTTCAAATTCTTGTTGTTCAACTGTACCATTTGAATTTTGATCAAATAAACGATCGAATGTTAAACGTAATACAGATATACTAATTTCAGCTGCATCATTAGCAAATACAGGTGCAATTAAATCAACAAATGGTTCAAATTTCATATTTATTAATTCTAAAAAATAATTATTTATATTTTTTTAAAATGATTAGTTTTCAGCGTCTCTACTTTTCGAACGAATATGTTTTTGTGCTTCAAGAAATTGTTTTTCATTGATTCTTAAACGATAACTTTGACATGGATTTGTTTGAAACCAATAAAATTCAACTAGATGCTAATTATTAATTTAAGTTAGAAAAAAAGAAGATTGATTTCATTACCTTCAACAACTCGATTATGAATTGTTTTGATATATTTAGAATATTTATTAACAAGATCTGCTCTGTATGAAGACGTCATTATTTATAATTGACAAATAAAAAAACAAAGTTTAGAAATGTATTTTTTACTAAAGACAATACATCAATCAAACTAAATTTTTAACATATGCACGCAAAAATTTTTGCTTCTTTTTCTCTCGTTGAGTCCGATGTAAATACTTCTTACGATCGTAAAGAATGAAGAAAACAAGAGAGAAAAAATATACTGATCGAATATAGTTTTAGTAGGTGTATTACAAATAGAGAAAGGTGTTTTTTGTCTATGTATCCGAAATGATGAAGCTTTCAGCTTTTGTTATTACCGATTTAATAAAAGTAAAAGATGTAGTTGTCAAATCTGTTTATTACGAATCATAGTAAACAACGTCATTATCATATTCAATGATTCGTATACTTTTAGACAACAACAAGTGCATCAGCTGTGTTATATCATTAGTTTTAACTATATTCATACTATGAAATGCAATTGAAAATAAGATTTTCTGATCTTTAGTATGATATCTTATCACCGATGAGCTGTTTTTTGTTAGACAGTATATACATAAATGCAATTCTTTGCTTATATTGCTTTATAAAATTTGAAGGTAATTGAATGCATAAAAATATTTTCGGAAGCACTCAACCACTTCATAATTCTTGTCGAGTCTTTAGCTCTTTTTTTCATTTAAACCTTCGCATTTAGTTGTTTCCTGTTGACTCACGGCATAAACAAGTTAATTGTAATTATTATATGCATTCTTGAATATAAAATATTTTTTTCAATCGTAGGAGTAAAAGAATAAAGATTGTTGTGTACCAAACGAAAGGATATTTTTTCCAAACGACAAAAACATTTTAAGCCGATATATCTTCTTTTAGAATAAAACACGTTCGATCAAGTGAAAAAAGAATCATTTATTATTTTGTCTTGATTTAATAGTGAAATGTTAGTCGATGACGCGGTTTTTACGAGTATGTTACAGTTTATTTTTTAAATTGATCAATTATCTGAATCCATTTCATCGAGATTTTTAATGAATATTTTATATATCTATGTTATTGAAGAAAGAGATTATATCAAAATTTCATGTCTCATTGTTTGCAAAATCGATTGAATACTTCATTAACACGTTTCCACTCATGATTAACAATGATCTTTTAGAAAGAAAATGTTTTATCACCTCAGCTATCTCACAAAAGTCTTAGTATATACCTTTACTCTAGAGTCCTGCATCGGATTGGGTTTCAAAACCCGACAACTCTCATCTTTAGTCATAATAGCTTAGTTCCTTCTCCATACTATTAGTTCAGTATGTGTGACTAACACACACATCAAAACAAGTATGGATGATGCCAACTGAAGCTCATGCACTTATTGGTGAATCTATCGGGTTTTAAAAACCGATCCGATGTAGGACGCTAATTTAATCAGTATTTTATCTAGTGGGTGGGGGGCGCCCATCCGGAATTTTTATTTCGCCCACCCGAAAAAAAGAAACCTGCATAAAACACTGTCTTTAATACGTTACTCCTATGAGCCTCTTCAGAAGCTATAAAATATTCGTTGAAGAATTTAAACAATGTAATTCATCTGAAATACTCATGTATACCAACATTCTTTTTTCGTTCTGACAATGATTCTAAAAGCATAATTTTCTTTAATCTAGTATATTGTTCAGTTTTAAAAGATTAATTTCTCTTCCAGTAAGGAAAAACCATTATATATTGCAATAAAAAAAGTCACATCAATAAAAAAACAAACAAGAAAATGTTTCACACGGCAAACTTGAACAAAATCATGCAAAATAGTAACTGAGAGAATAATTTACTAATCATCATCATCACTATCATTTTTCATACTTTGACGAATTGATGATCGGAGAAAATCATCAGCTGCATCATTCGCTCCATAATTTTTCATATCGTCAGGTTTAGTTAATTTTTCTGTTGTTTCAATAGCACCAAATTCATATAATTTATATTCTAAATGTTCAAAACGACATTTCATACCACCGAATGCAAATGGACCAATAAGTGAATGTTTAAGGTCACCATTATTATAGATAAATACTGTTGGTAAATTTTTATCAGGATAATTTGGTATACAAACAGTTGATATACTTTTAACAAATTTTGTTTGTGGATATTTAATAGCTAATGAACGAAGATGATCACTAATTAATGAACATATTGGAAGTCTGAAATAAACAATAAATAGATAAATAAAATGCTCATGTAAAATATTTTACCCTGATTTATAAAGATAAAGAACTACCCATATATCACTTCCAGCTTGATTAACTTCTTTAACATAATCAATTGCAGAGATTTCAATAACTTCACCAAATCGAGCACGTGTTGCTTTTTCTTGTAATTCTAATAATCGTTTTCGTCTAGAAAATAAAATCAAAGTTAAAAAATAAAATAGAAATAGTATTTACCGATATTCTTGTAAAACACGTTCATCGTCTTCATCTTCAAGTTCATCTAATTCATCTAGAGTTTTCTTATCCAATTGTTCAGCTAAAATTAAAATTAAATTAAAAAATTTCCTTTTTATTTGTCTTTTTCATATTTACCTCGAGAGATTTCTAAACGTTCATCTTCAGTTTTTATATCTTCTTTTTCTTCTTTTTCTCCGATTATACCAAAACGACGTAATTGATCATTCCATTGGGTATTAGCATTTGGATCCTTAAAAAATTAATAATAGTTTAGGATATAAGATATTGCAAGGAATTTATGAACAGATGAAATATATAAAGTTAGGTAAATTATAAATGATACATACTTGCATGTTTTAATTGAAATGTTAATATAATAAATAAAAGTCTGTTAAATTAATGAGAGATGTATATGTATATTTATAAGAAGACTCGGATGAGTAATAGCATTAGTATCAGTGACCATATTAGGAAACACTTTCTGATGTCCAATGAAAAAATTAGTTAAAATCTATTCCAGATGTTTTTACCAATTATGGTCTGTATTGATTTTTAAATTGAAGAAGAGCATTATTTCTTATAACTTTTAAAGATTATTATAAAATCGATTATAGATGTCGCTTTATGGTGTTTCCTACAAATCCGACAATTTTTTTTATAGAGAATTTTCTTTTAGCAAAATTTAAGTATATTAATCTTGTGGTATTTTCTGAACTATACAGGAATCAATTAGTTTCAATTTATACCATATACTTACGGATGAAGCATGAATAGTTATCTCTATAATTTATGAAATAAGCGCATTTGTAATATTGAGAAAATATTCTTTATTAATACTTCTACATACATTTCGACATTCCAATATATCAATATCAAATAGAAGTTTATATTATTCTTATTTACACACAATCTGCCACGTTTCTTTGAAGCGTTCTATATTTGAGATTAATTTAAACAAAGTAAGAGGAATAAAATCCAATGAAATATTTATAATTAATAAGAAGAATAATATTTATATTATCTTGATTAAGTTCTTTATATCTTTTTTTTATTTTTCCTTTCAAAAAGATTTTTCCTCAAATATTAAGAAAAAGAAAGCATTATATAGTATTACAATAAGTTATTCAAAATAACTATAATACTCCGGATTAAAAGAGAATAATTTTTATTTTATTAAACCAATATAAAAACATTAGGTTCTTCTAGTGAATTTTTTTGTTTCTGAAATAGAAAAAAAAAGGAATTTTTATAAAATTAAATATCATATTTTTACTTTTTCTGCTGCTACTTTTTCACCCATAAATTGTTTACTTTTTCGTTTATTTCCTGTTGTTTCTTGAGTTTTTGGTTCATCAATATCGATATTTATTGAACATGAGCACTTTGGGCAAGATATTATTTTCGTCGCTGAATTCTCCGTATTCCCTTCCTCTATTAATTAAATTAATAATATGAATAAAAAATATTTAAACGTCTATTAATTACCTTCCAAAACTGTCGAAAAAACAGTCGTGTCCCATTCAGAATTATATGTTTTACGATCGCTACTTAATGTGCATAATGTAAATGCTAGTTGGGATTTCGTAAGTTGATATTTTTTTATTAAGTTTTTAGGTGTTAATTTGGGCGCCTTTTCATATATATGTGTATCAGTAAATCCAAGTGCATCTAGTATTGGATGAAATGGTTGAAGTGGTTGTAATACTTTTAATGCATCTTGTTTTGCCTTAATTAATACTAAGTAAATTCTATAGTGAGAATTAAGACAATAAATAAAAATAATAATTGAGATAAATATATATTTACTTCATTAAACCTGAAGAATTCGAATGAATTTCTTCGTACATAGGATTGCAATCAGGTACATCAGCAAGGTCATTACTGGCTTGAAATTGATATGGCATAACGAATCGTTCATTATCTTCATTGGGAATCGTTACCCAGTCAATTCGAATCTGACCTCGCATATGTTGAGGTACCTGTAATATTTATTATTTAGAAAATTTAATGATAATTAGTTTGAAAAATAGCTGTACTTGAAGGGATATATAATGATTACCGTCACGATCAGTCACATATCTTGGTTTTCGAGTTGTTCCATTGTTAGCAAAATAATCACTTTTATATCTTGGTCGATATTTTTCTTCTAAATCGTGTACAAGTTTAATTTTATTAGATGGATTCGATGATTGTTTTGGTTGACCAACACCAACGGAAGAAGAAAGTAATATAGCTTTTTTTTGTGTTTTGACCTTTTTATTTTTTTCTATTTATATCAAATAAAATGATATCTATTCACAACAAAGATTTTCTTAGTTACCAATCGGATAAACTGGTAAACTGTTATTAACGAGTAAATCTTGATCAATATCAGATGGTGAATCTAAAAATAAATAGTTCATAGACATATTCCAATTTTATTATTTTATCACTTGAAAAAAATGGAGCTGGAATATATCCATTGGATTCATGTATTTCACCAGGATGTCCGATAGATCCTATATGAAGAAATAAATTTTAATTAAAACAGTATCTTATCTTACCGAATAGATCATTCTGATCACAAGTGCCTGCAACATCTAGATCTTCAAATAGATTAAAATCGGAGGAAGGATTAAGAGGTTCATTGAACAAATTTTCGAGAAAGTAATCGTCCAGTGGACACTCATCGCCAATCACTTCCACAGATAAATGATCAAAACTTGTACCGGTAAGCAAACTGTGTGCATTCATATTCATTTTATAGGTGGTATAAAATGTGCGATGGTGTTGAGTAAAACAAAATGTGATTTGATTGTATTACATAGTCTGTACAAACGATATTTGTTTTTTCGAAAAATATGTTTATTATCAAGCCTTCTTACTTTTGTTTTTTTGGTTCTAAAAATTTCTTTTTATCTAACGCACCTTATATATATATCTAGACATTTTGGGTTTTTTCCAAGCATATTACAAATGCGGAAGAGGAGAAAAGAAGAGAAAACAAACAGAACAGAACAGAAAAAAAAATATCTTGCGTATATTTTTTTCACTCCGCGAAAGGCTAGACCTATTGTATAAAGATGATTGATGTAAATTACTTTTTTTAAGGCGCAACACGATGTCAAAAATACTGTTTTGAATGGATAATCTCTATGACTATGGTTATTACTTATTTTGTTTTTTGTTTTGCGACAACTAGTATACAAAAGCTACTATTGTTATTTAAAAAACATGCGACTATCAAGGAGAACAACAAATATTTTTTTATTATCATTGCAAAAAACGTGACTGACGTCATTTACAATTGAGTTTCGAAAAAAGAAAAGTGCGTATACTTTTTTTGATTTACGCATAAAGATGAAAAAAATTACTAAGTAGATATTTGTATTATATGAAAACAGATTTTTCTTGTCTCACACAGGCATGATATTTATCATAGATAAGTCAAAAAAACATCATGATGTTCTTGCATTTAGAATATAAACAACTTGATCATGTTTCACACTTTAATTTAATATGACTTTGAATAAAAGTATTGTTTCGTTTATCATTTCATGCAAAACTAAGACTACACTCATGTTTTTATTCTTCAAATAATATTAAAGGAAATATACGGTGCAAATATTTCGATTTTTTTTTATAATATATTATATGTGTAAAATCAAATTCAGTTGATAAAAAAAGAGAAATTATAACGATTAATTCCGAGCATTTGAATATTAGTATATTACATGCACTAGCTATGAGAAAATTGATTTAGAATTATTTGTTCTTTTTTCTTTTATTGATAATCTTGTTTGTGGTTGTCTATGAATATTTCAATAGAATTTCTTTAGAATAGAATAATTTTCATCTTTACCTTGGAAGAAGATTGAGATGTTCTGCGATTATTTGATTGACGTTTCTTTGTTTGATTTGATTTCAGAATATTATCTCGATGAAAACAATTTGCACAATTCGGGCAACATATATATTGGTTCGTAGTATCTTAAATAAAACAAAATCTTCGAAAATAAAAAAAAGAATTTATTTACCCAATAGTGATGTACTAGTATTTGCAGTAACATCTATAACGAAATAATTCTCTTAAATTAATTTCTAGAAAATAATATTTTACCATTTGTTTTCTTCGATGTTGGTACTTCAGTAATAATCGATGAAATGATTGTTGAATCTGGATATGGTTTATAGAAATCATCGGAAAGTTTTTTACATAATGTAAACGCTATTTGAGATTTATCTAATTGATATTTAGTAATTAATTCTTTAGGACGTAAAATTTCTTCATGTATAATATCTATGTTTTTCAAAGAATTAAAACAAAAATTTTCTTCTTTTTTTTATTAAATTTTACTTTGTATATTAGCGGTTGTATCTGAAAATAATTTCAATGGTTGAACATAATTCAGATGATGTAATTTAGATTTGATTAAAACAAGATACAGTCTATAGTTTAAATAAATAAATAAATCTTTGTTTTAAGAATAATTTTAACCTCATTTTAGATTGATCTTCTCGATTAGCTTCTATTTTAATATACATCGGATTTTCATCGGGTACATTTATATCATTATGATCTTTTTGAAATTTATAAGGACTATAGTAATGTCCATGACCTTCGATAGATGTTGTTATTAGAGCAACACGAATGTAATCATATTGTAAATCATATTGATAGTCACTTGGCAACTAAATAAATAAGAAAATATTATTTTATATATGAGTTTTTACTTGTAATGTAATAAAATGATTTGTTTTATTATCAGTAATATAACGTGGATGTCGAGCTGAACCAGTTTGAGGAAAATAATCACTTTTGTAACGTGGACGATATGTATTTTCTAATTCATAAACAATTTTTAATCGGTTAGATTTTAAATCCGTAACAGCAACATTTTCTGAAAGTGGAATCGTTGATTTCGATGCTAAAATTTTGAGAAATAAACTAAAAAAATTCAATGTAAATTTTTATAATACATTTTTTTAAAAATGATTGAATAACAGGTAATGAATCGTTAGTAGTTTTATTCATTGCTAATTGTTCATCAACATGTCTTAAATCTTTTGAGAAAATTTTTAAAAGACATTTAAATATAATAAGAAACATACGATATGCTGGATTATTCTGTTCAGTAGGATGAAATGCTTCGCTAGCTTCTTTTAATAATTTGTAAACTACATCAACAGAACCTATTCATGAAAGAAAATATAAATGAATAATATTTTTCCAAATAAATAGTAAACTAGGAGTCGATGTTATTAGTTGCATTTCATTGATATCGGGTATATCTTCGAAAACATCATTATATAATTGAGTACTAGATTCTGAATAAATAAAATAAAGATTTTGGTTTTATTTCGAGAAAAAAAAAGATTATACCAGAAGGAAATGTTTCACAAAATGTTTCAAATGGATTGAAATCATAAAAAATACGTGTGCCTAAATTTAAAAAATAAAATGTAATAATAAAAAAATATTTTAATTACTAATTTCTTCAGTTAATGTATTAGATGGATTAACATCTAAAGAAGCCATAAAATAATAATTATAAAATCATATATCCTGCACATACTATCAAGTAAAAGAAAATCAAGATTTTCTCTTGAATGTGAATTGATAGCCATATCTAAAACATTGATTATATTACAATTAATATTTCAGGTTCTTTATTTACGTTACTATTTTGTATTATCGAACAATTATTGAAATATGAACCTGTTCAACATTGACAATTTGAAAACAACAAAAACGGCTAATATCGTATAAAACGGTCTTGACTTGTTTTTCTTCACAATAATGACGTGTAAGAGATGAGTAATTTCTATATTACAAAAAAATATTGATCACAAATTAATCGTGTCTCTATTCAGATGAAAATAAATCTTTCGAAACTTCCGATGAGTAATACCTTTCGATAACTATGTAAATAATATCGTATATATTGATATTATCATTTGTTTTTATTTTGGCTTGCAAATAACGTGAGTCAATGTACAGCTTTTAACTTGGTTTTTTCCAACTTTATTCAATGACATATTTTTTGCTGTTCGTCCTTCTTTTACCTTTATTTTAATATGCTTGCCTATGCCATGTGTTGTTTTAGCATGTTACGTGACGTAACAATAACAAAAAAAAAGGTATTAGGTGAAAGTTAAAGAGAAATTTGAGTGTCATTCAAATACCAAATATGAGACTATCGAAAAAAAAACATCTTATAAATGAAATAAAATACTATAATTAGATTATATATTTTATAATGAATATAATTCAGGAATAAATAAATTGAAAAAAAATGACAAATAACTGGGTTATTTTAGTGAGTAGATCGGTTCATCAAATGAAAAAAAAAGAAATGTTTTTTGAGTCAATAATGTTGAGACCAACCAGTGAAAATATGGTTGATCTGCGGCGGAGGAGCCCCTTCGGCAGTAATTAATGTGGGTGATCCACATTAAATTCAGTATCATTTGTTGATACGCGAGTGATCTGAAAGAAGCACAAATATTTGTTTATTTATTAAGTCTTTGATCTAATAAAAGTAAACTTACCGGTAGTCCAAGTAATGCTGGTGAAGATTTTAATTTTTTTGATTTGCTTGAACTTGGTTTATTGGGACTACCCACACGTTTTACACTATTTTTCTTTGAAGCAGAAGCTAATGGTTGTTCAGATATGTCTGCTGGTGCGATTTCTAAAAATCAAATAAATTCTTTATAAAAAATTTCGTATTTTTATCAAGAAAACTTACGTTCATGAATTACATCCGAATCACATGTAATATTAGAAATATATACTACGTTATCTTCCTTTAACGCCAAGTGAAATATAAATTGATACGACAACAAATTATATTGTTGTTTAAAAATTTTCGCTTTTTGTACTTTGGTAGTGTCTGATTCGTTTTCAAGCATAACTAAATTTCATAAAAAAAACAGATTATTTAAAAATAATTAACAAAAAGGTACAAACATGTTGTTGTTGTTCCAAACATCGTATTTCTGTCGAATGGTGTTAGATTAAAAGTATATTCTTCATATTTTTTATAACCTATTGACATACGCGGAAATCTAAAGAATTAATAAATATTATATAAATAGCATTTTATTTTATTTTTACATACTTTTTTTCCGACGCAAATGTTTTCAATGGGATGAAAACACATCCATGTCCAATTTTTATAGCATCTGCTTCATGATAAAAAATATCATTTTCATGTACAAATTGTTGGTTCATTGGATTATTTGTACTGGTTACTATCGTTACAACGATACCAATTGTTTGATTTCTTGCCAATGCAATTGATTGTAGATTAGGCATCTAAAATAAATCAATATAAGCAAATATTTTATATTAAGAAAAGAAACAAACTTGAACAATCATGGGATGGGATCGTGAATCAGGTAAAAAACGTCGTCCATCACATTTATAACGTAAACGTTTGTTAGCCTTTGGTTGTTGAGAAACAAACATGGTACCTTCAAGTAAACCAAATAGCATGGAATACATCAGGTACATAATTCCATCCTGACTTCCAGTTGCTTCTTTCGGAACCCAATTGTCCACAATTGTGAAATTTTGATCTTCAGTGACGTTTTGACCTTCAGTGGGGTTTTGCAATAATTGTTCATTATCAACGATAGCCATAGCATTCTGTGGCATATCTACAATAGACATATTATCTACATCATATTTAAAAGACTGAAAAAAAACTGACCTGGTAGTACATGATTTAATTCGGTTATCAAATCCCCAAGCAATGATTCAGCATCTTCATTATTATTAGAATTTAATTGAAGAAATAATGAAAAATCATGTTGATCTTGCGGATTTATTTCAACAACTGAAAAAAAAATTCATAAGTATGAGAAAATCCAATCATTTTTCGACTTACGGTTGCTTAGAGGAATATCAACTGAGTTGGTATTGAAACCATGTTGTTCTAGAAGATCTATTTCAAGAACTGAAAAAAATTGATGAGTATAAAAAGATCAGCAATATTTCAACTTACGATCATTTAGAGACATCTTAGGCGAGTTGATATTGAAATCTTGTTCTCCTGGAGGATCTATTTCGAAAACTGAAAAAAATTGATAAGTGTGAAAAAATCAATCATATTTCAACTTACGATCGTTTAGAGGAATATCAGCTAAGTTGATATTGAAATTATTTTGTCCTGGAGGATCTATTTCAAAAAATGAGAAAAAAACGATCAGTATGAAAAAAACCCAATCATATTTCGACTTACGCTCGTTTAGAGAAATATCAGTTGGGAAGATATCGAAATGATCATCCATTAGAAATAAGTTATTAAGGAATTCATCCGTGTCATATGGTTGTTGTTCCATTTTGCAGTTAAATTAATATGTTGTACTTTAAGTTTAAATAAGAGAATAAATACATTTATACGCCAGTTTGTTCTTTATAACTACACTTCTTTACCACAGTGGAAAAGTATTTTTTTTCTTTCTTTTTTCATGAGTCAAGCAGGCAAGCAGCGACAGGCAGACAAGAAGAAAAAAATAACGATGTTTATAAATAGACGACGAAGAAGTAGGTAGACGACCAAAACATGGCTGTCGGTAATTTTGTAATAACATGTTTTGATAAAAAATATATCTTGAAAATGATAATGAAAGAAAATAGAAGATTTTTATTTTTCTTAAAATTTTCTCTCGTTGTGCAATTTCATGACAAATATTTTGTGTAAATACTTCAAAATCTAAGTAAAATATTGATAAATAAGCGATAAGCAGCAATTTATTCTAACTTGAAAATCTTTACAAATCTGTAGAGTAAATAAGAAAGTCTACAGGTAACCTTATCTTTCAAACCTCACACTGTTATTAAAACAAAATCTAATCGTGATTAATTATAATTTTATTTTTTTATTGAATTAAATTCAAGAAAAAAAAAAACAATTTTTAAACAAAATAAAAGTTCTTATTTCCGTTGTCGATAGCCAATACAAAAAAAAATGTTTGATTGAAAATCAAACATGCGGATGAGGGCTTTCAACAAGAAATAATTCAAAAATATTTCGTTATAATCTTGAATAACAAAAGATAAAAGAAAAAAAAATGAAAGTAAAAATAATAAGTTTTTAGTTAATGAAAATGCTTCTTTTATTTTCTTGATTTCGATTTCTTCTTATTTTTCATCACTTTCATTAGTTTTACTGCTGGTTTGTTTTGTCGTTCTAAATAAATTAAACAACACTTTAAAGAAGATATTCATATAACACTCACTACTTTCTTCCATTTTATGTGTTTCACATACAATATCTGTAAAACGGAATAGTTCATTTTCTTTGATTAATAATTGACAGATGATTCGACTAGCTTTCAAGTTATATTGATCAAAAATCTTTTTAGCTTCATTCACCGTAACTATTTCATTACCATCTATATCTAATGTTAAATAAATATTAAATATATATTCAGTATGTAGAAAAGAAAATTATAATACCACTAGCAATTCCGAATAGTTCAAGTGGCGTTAATAGACGATTATGTGCTTTTAGCTTTCTCTTAATTATTGATAAATGTTCTAATCTAGATGAAGAATAAATTAAAAATAGTTTTAATAAAAAAAACACGATCTTACGCTTTTATTCCTTTTTTAATATCATCTGAAGTTAAAGGAACACAAATAGTGCCATCCGTTAATTCATATGCATCATCGGAATGATATCCCAGTTTATTTGGATGAAGACATACTTCATCCGATGGATTTTCGGTCCATGTAGCCAGTAACAATCGAATCCAAAATGTTTGATCAGAACTTAATTGAATATTTTTTAAATTGAGTATCTAAAGAATAAAAATAATAGTCAACAAAAAACTAAGAAGAAGATGAAGAATGTTGACATACATCAATCTTCATAGAATTTGCTGTTCGACGTCGACGATCAGTTTTATAGCGAAGACGAAGACTAGCTGATGGATGAGTATTAATAGTCATTAATAGTTTTGCAATCAATTCGTTAATGATTTCTAAATTCGCTTCTTCAGTATGCTGCTCTAAATCATCCAGATTGGGTTCTGATAATGTATCAGCAACTGTTTCCGTATTTCTTATTTCTACGTCTGTAAAAAGGAACATTTCAAATAAGTTTTATAAAGTAAACAAATTTTAACAAACCAGAAGGAGTTGTGGTAACAGTCTCCTCATTGACTGGTTCTACAATTTTATCAAAATTAGTTCTTTTGAAAAAAAACATGAAAAAAAACATGAAAAAAAACATACCAGTAAAATAGTGTATAACCCCCAAGGATTGACCACGAAATAATTCTTCAACAACATCATTATTAGGCATAACTGATGCTGTTGCTTGCTCATTATGACTATGAGAAGTGACACCTTCATTATTAAAAAGATCATCTGGACTTCGGAAAGATGCCGGTAAGTATATATCCAAATCATTTCTCGAGCTGATATTTGAACATTGAGCTTGTTCACAAAGCAACACTTGTGTATCGAAATCATTTCTTGAGCTGCTATCTGAACATTGAAATTGATCCAAAGACAATATTGTATCGAGCTGATTAAAAAACTCTTCATTATAAGTACATTGAGGAACTAAAATTAATATAATAAAATTAAAAAAACTACTGTGTTGATGTTTTAATTTACTTTCATCGGGTTGATATTCCATATTTGTTGTAAATTTTTTATCTGAAACGAAAAAATCTCTGTAACTATTAAAAGAAATGTCGCGTTTTTAAAAAAAAATTGCCCTTTTATAGCTGCTTACTCGCTTTGCTAGAAGGAAGCTGATTGGTGAAACAAAACTCCTATAATGTTGAGACGAAAAATATAGGTGTCTTGAGTTGGTTTAAAAAAGATCTCAACTATTTGTAACAAGCTTTCACGAACATTACTAACTTTAAAGTAATTTATATTTTTGTCATATTAAAATGATAGAGCCTAGGAAAAGGACATAAATAAAATATAAGAGAAGAATTTAATCGGAGAGGAGAAAGAAGAATCACAGGCGTATTAAATGAGTCTTGGAAAATTCCAAGTCGATGATGAAAGAAAGAAAAATGTCTGCAGTGATTTACATTGAGTAAATGATGTTGCTTTAAAACATATAACAGTTTTTTTTAATTATCTTTATTGTCTAATATGTTTATACATTCAGATATATGAAAATATATATTCCTATAAAATAGAACAATATACGAAATAGTTCTTTTTACATGATTATTAAAGTCACGTATTGTCAATGTCTGTTCAGATATTACACATCTATGACAAATAAATGACTTATTGGTATAAATTAATGTAACATTTAAATTTTCGATATATAGAAAAATTTACTTCATAGTACCAGTTTTTATATCTTTATCAATAACTGGAATAAAAATCGAGCCACTATGAATTTTTGCATATTCATTTTTAATTCATATCCTATTTTAAACATTTCTCATAAAAACTATAATACCAAATCATTGATTAAAATAATCAGCGAAATCATCATCTACATCATAAAATGTACTCGATGAAGAAGATAGTTCAGACGCACTTGATTCGTCAAATAAATTGAAAATTGAATCATTATTACATCTGCAGTAAAATGTAGCTATTAAAAGAAAATTTTATCTAGTTGTTAAATAAAAATATTACTTACATGGTTCATAATAAAAATTAACACGTACAATTTCTTGATTATTTTAACGAACAACAATAGGAACTTCTAATTTATGATTTTCATTTGCTTCTATCAGGCATGACGGAATTGTAAATGTAATTGTTTTTGAATCAACAAAGCGAAATGAAACCGGTTGTTGACGTTGTAAAGAAGAATATTAAAAATATATTAGAAATATATAAATAATTAGGTTTTCAATATTTTTTTAAAACTAGTCAATTCAATTAAAGAGTAGTTATAAAGATCGAAATGTGTTATAGCATCACTCTCACATCCATCCAATCTTCATTGAACGAAGTCCATCCACATCTAATGCAAATATATTTCTTGCAGAATCAATACTTTATTTAGAATTATGGACTTTATCGTATCAAACAGTTAAATCAAGAAAAAAACGTAGTTTGCGCTCTAAATCATGCTTGACGAACAACATATACGGACACATTGTCCTGTATGTATTCTTTAAAAATATTCTGAATCACGCGAAGCAAAACAAACAGGTGGATGAATAACGTTTAGGTCCATCTTACTAGTACAATAGTTAAATTTTCATACTTTACTCCTTTCATATTTCGAATTCCTACTTTAGAATCTTGTAGATATCTTATTTACTTTTTGATTGTTTCTTTATTTTTCTTATAATAAATTAATCCTCATACTAATAAACTTATTTCTTCTAATGAGAACATCTGAATGTTTTACTTATACTTATATATTAAAAACTGATCATTGTACCACTGACTATTTAATAGTTTCACTGATCATTTCCATCTTTATTTACTGAGCATTTCGTTTATTTTATTGATCACTTAAATGATAACCGAAAATAAAAGTCCATAACGCAGTTCTCAATAATGAAAAAAAGAAATTTTTTTGATTAAACATAACAGTAGGCGAAGAAGGCCATTTAACAAGAAATAATCGAAAAGTGTCTCTTTATAGGCTTGAATAATAAAAAATAACAGAAAATAAAAATAAAAATAAAAGTAAAAACAATAAATTTTTTAGTTAATGAAAATGCTTCTTTCATTTTCTTGATCTCGACTTTTTCTTATTCTTCATCATTTTCAATTGATTCTACTAATTGTTATGTTGGTTGCCTTAAACAAATCAAAGAATACTTTGAAGAAGAAGATATTATTATAACACTCACTAATTTCTTCCATTTTATGTGTTCCACATGCAATATCCGTAAAATGAATTCTTCCATTTTGTACGATCAATAGTTGACAAACAATCCACATAGCTTTCGAGTTAAATTCATCAAAAATCTCTATAGCTTCATCCATCGGAACTATTTCGTTGCCATGTATATCTAATGTTGAATAAATATTAAACATATATTTATTTCATAGAAAAGAAAATTAAAATACTACTAGCAATTCCCAATATATCAATTAGCGTCTACTCCCTATTATATATGCTTGGCTTTCTTTTAACTATTTGTAAATGTGGAAATCTAAATAAAGAACGAATCAGAAATAGTTTTAATAAAAACAAACATGATCATACGCTACTGTTCCTTTGTTGATATCATCTGAAGTTAAAGGAACACAAATTGTTCCATCGTTTAATATTTGTGCATCATCGGAATGATATTTTAGTTTATTTGGATGATGATATATTTGGTCTGATGAATTTTCGATCCGTGCAGCTAGCACCAATCGAATATAAAATGATTGATTAGAGCTTAATTTAATGTTTCTTAAATTGGATATCTAAATAATAAAAATGATATTCAACAAAAAAACTAAAACGAAGATGAAGAATATTAACATACATCAATCTCCATAGGATTTGTAAGAGAATTTGGTATTCGACGGCGATCATCAGAGTCATAGCGAAGACGAAGACTAGCTGGTGGATCAGTTTTAACAGTCATTATTATTCCTGCAATCGATTCGTGAAAGATTACTAAACTTGTTTCTTCAGCATGATGCTCTGAATCATTCAGATCGGGTTCACATGATGTATCAGCAACTGTCTCCGTGTTATTTTCATCCACGCCTGTAAAAGGAAACATTGCAAATAAGTTTTAAAGAGTAAACAAATTTTAACAAACCAGAAGGAGGTGTAGTAACAGTCACTTCATTGACTGGTACTAGAATATTATCAAAATGAATTCTTTTGAAAAAAAACATGAAAAAAATACCGTTAAAAGAGTGTGCGGTCCCCAAGGGTGCACCAGGAAATAATTCTGCATTAATATGATCATCAGGCATAGATGATATCGTTGGTTGCCCATTAAGACTAGGAGAACTGGCGTATTCATTATTAAAAGAATCCTCTGAACTTTGGACGGATGACAATAAGGTTGTATCTGAATTATCTCCCGAGCTGCTGTTTACAGATTGAAATTGATCGAGAAACAATATTGTATCGTACCGATTAAAAACTCGATCATCTGATGTACCTTGAGCATCTAAAATTAATACAATGAGATTAAGAAAACCATTAAGTCAATGTTTTAATTTACCATCATTAGATTGATCTGCCATATTTGTTGTAAGTTTTGATCTAAAAACAAACAAAAGCACTATACCGATTACAAAGACATCTGCCATTTGATTTAATATTTTTTCCCGTCAATAACTGCTTATTCATTTTTCTAAAAAGATCTGATTGGCGAAACAAGACTCCTATAATACTGAAACGAAGAATATAGGTGTCTTGAATTGATTTAAAAAAAGACCTCAACTGTTTGCAATAGGTTCTCTCGACAATACTGACTTTCAACTAATTTGTATTTTTGTCATATTGAAATGATAGAGCATAGCAAAAGGACATAAATGAAATATTAGAGACGAAATTAATCGAAAAGAATAAAGAATAGATCACGTGCATATTAATTCAGTTTTGAAAAGTTTCAAGTCGATGATGTAAGAAAGAAAAATGTCAGCAGTGATTCATAGAGTACAAACAATGTTATTTTAAAACGTACAACAGTCTTTTTTGGGAATTATCTTTATCGTCTAACATGTTTATATATTCATATATATGAAAATACATATTCCTACAAAATAGAACAATATAAGATAGAGTTCTTTTTATATAGTTATTAAAATCATATATTTTCGATGTCTGTTCAGATATTACACATCTATGACAAACAAACAACTTTATTCATATATACTCTTATTTATTTCAATAATCTTTTGGTGTATGTTACAGTTAAAAGTTTAAGGCAAAGAAAAATTAAGAATGACTAAAATCTAATATTAGAATGAGATTTAAAAAACTATTGAAGATTATATTTCCTCTACATAGTACAATGCATTTCGTAGATCAAATTAGCCACACTTACATTGTTTCCATTTAATGATTTACTTTACATATCTTGAGTTTTGTGCAAAGAAATGAACTTTGACTGTCATTTATTCCCTCAGTCTACTTACATGTAAGATCATTTCATCTTTCTTACACCGTCTACTCTGTTAATATTAGTTCTAGAAATGACTGGAAGTCAATAGTAAACACCATAACCAAAAGAGTAATTCGATTTAGTTCATAATATATAACACAACATCAAAACTACTGATTTGTTAGTTTTTGAGAGCTAATGTTATGTAAAAGAGATAAGACAAAATCATGTTTTTGACTTCGGATAAAATCAAACTGTATCCATCATTGTGATATATGAAAAGTATTAGAACTTTTGTGTGTTAGAATACATAGATTAGATTAGTAATCTTTTAGAGAAAATTGTTTAATAGCTCTCCATCAACTCTTCATTGAACCAGGCCCATACGCATTTAATACAAGCATATTTGTTGTACAATCAATACTTTGCTTAGAACTATGGAGTTTATTGTATCAGACAGTTAAATCGACAAAAAACTTGGTTTGCGCTCCAAATCATGCTTGACGAACATCACATTAGGACACATTGTTGTGTATGTGTTCGTTAGAAATATTATCAATTACGCGAAGCAAAACAGACAGGCGAATGAACAACGTTCAGATCTACCTTACTAGTACAACAGTTATATTTTCATATTTTTTTCTTTCATACTTTTCTCCTTTCATATTTCGAATTCTTACTTACGAATCTTGTAGATTTCTTACTTAGTTTTTGGTTCTTTATCTATTTTTCTCATAATAAATTAATCTTCATACTAATAAACTTATTTCTTCTAATGAGAACATCTGAATGTTTTACTTATACTTATATATTAAAAACTGATCATTGTACCACTGACTATTTAATAGTTTCACTGATCATTTCCATCTTTATTTACTGAGCATTTCATTTATTTTATTGACCACTTAAATGATAACCGAAAATAAAAGTCCATAATCCGGTTGTCAATAAACAAAAAAACAAAAAATTTTAATTAAACATAACAATAGGCGGAGAAGGCCATTTAACAAGAAATAATCGAAAAGTGTGTCTGTAGAAGCTTGAATAACAAAGAATAACAGAAAATAAAAATAAAAACAATACATTTTTAGTTAATGAAAATGCTTCTTTCATTTTCTTGATCTGGATTTCTTCTTATTCTTCATCATATTCAATTGGTTCTATTAATTGTTATATTGATCGCCCTAAATAAATCAAATAATACTTTGAAGAAGAAAATATTCTTATAACACTCATTACTTTCTTCTATTCTATGTGTCCAACATATAACATTTGAAAATCGAAGTGTTCTATTTTGTTCGATCAATAGTTGACAAATAATCCACATAGCTCTCAAGTTATAATTATTAAAAATCACTTTAGCTTCCCGTATCGTGATTGTTCTGTTACCACGTATTTCTAATGTTAAATAAATATTAAATATATATTCAATATGTAGAAAAGAAAATTATAATACCACTAGCAATTTCCAATAGCTTAAGTGGCGTTAGTTCACTATTGTATTCTCTAAGCCGCCTTTTCAATATTTGTAAACGTCTAAATCTAAATGAAGAATAAATTAAAAATAGTTTTAATTAAAAAAAACATAATCATACGCTTTTGTTCCGTTGTTGATATCATCTAAAGTTAAAGGAACACAAATTGTTCCATCCATTAATGTAAATGCGTCATGGGAATGATATCTCAATATATTTGGATGAAGATATACGTCGTCTGTTAGATTATCGGTACATGCAGCTAGTAACAGTCGAATACAGAATCTTTGGCCAGACCTTAATCTAATGTTTCTTACACGAGATATCTGAAGAATAGAAATGATATTCAACAAAAAACTAAGAAGAAGATGAGGAATATTAACATACATCAATAACCATAGGATCTCTAAAATATCGACGTCGACCATCAGATTCATAGTCAAGACGAAAATTAGCTGGTGGATGAGTTCTAACAGCCATTATTGATTCTGCAATCGATTCGCTAAAGATTGCTAAACTCGTTCCTTCAGCATCGTACTCTAAATAGTCCAGACTGGGTTCTAATAATGTATCAGCAACTGCTTCCGTGCTATCTTCGTCCTCGTCTGTAAAAAAAACATTTCAAATAAGTTTTATAAAGTAAGTAAATTATTTAACAGACCAGAAGGAGTTGTAGTAACAGTCACTTCATTGTCTGGTTCTAGAATATTATCAAAATTGATTCTTTTGAAAAAAACTTGAAAGAAAATACCCTGAATATAGTGTATAACCCCCAAGGATTGACCAGGCAATAATTCTTCATCATCAACAGGATCATCACGCACAGATGGTATTCTTGGTTGCTCATTAAGACTAGAAGAAGTGACGTTTTCATTACTAAAAAGATCCTCTGAACTTTGGGCAGGTGATGGTAGGGTTGTATCCGACGAGGAAAGGTCACCAACATGAAAATCATTTTTGAGCTAATAAATTTCAAAAAGTGCTCATACTTTACCAACGATATGTGAAAATTCTGTTTTTCTAAAAGCTTATTATTTCGTAAAGGAAGTGTCCGATTGAACTGAAGTTTTCATGAGATGCTATCTACTTTGGGTACTATCCATGGATAAGAATTCTGGCCAAACTGCCATCATTAGATTTTCATTCTTATATCAAGATATAATCTAAAATTTCAGTAAAATAACTATAACTCGAAGAGAAAGCGTTATTAGCCGCTATCCTTTTAGGCGTTTATTAAGCACACTGGTATCTACTTGTGCATAAAATATTAGCTCAAAAATAATTCTCAAGGTGGTGACTCTTCCTCGTGAGTCATCTCTCGAGTGCTGTTTATAGATTAAAATTGATCGAGAAGCAATATTGTAACGTACTTATTAAAAACCTCATCATTAGATGTACTTTGTGGAACTAGAATTAACACAATGCAAAAATTAAAATACTACTATACTAATGTTTTAATTTACCATCATTAGATTGATCTGCCATATTTGTTGTAAGTTTTTATCTGAAAACAAACAAAATCCCTATAGCTATTAAAAGAAATGAAGCTTTTTTAAAAATATTTTTCTCCTTTAATAGCTGCTTATTCATTTTGCAAAAATGAATCTGATTGGTGAAGCAAGACTCCTATAATGTTTAGACGAAAAAACATAAGTGTCTTGTGTTGGCTTGAAAAAAGATCTCATCTGTTTGTAGCAGGTACTTACCGACAATACTGACTTTCAACTAATTTGTATTTTTGTCATATTAAAATGATAGAGCATAGCAAAAGAGCATAAACTAAATATGACAGAGGAAATTAATCGAAGAGGAGAAAGAACAGATTACATGCATATTAATTTATTTTTGAAAAGTTTCAAATCGATGATGTAAGAAAGAAAAATGTCTGCAGTGATTTACATTGAGTAAATGATGTTGCTTTAAAACGTACAACAGTCTTTTTTTGGGAATTATCTTTATTGTGTAACATGTTGATATATTCATATACATGAAAATACATATCCCTATAAAATAGAACAATATACGAAAGAGTTTTTTTGAAATGATTATTAAAATGATGAGTTGTCTATATCTATTCAGATATTACACATCTATGACAAATAAACGACTTTATTGATACATATGTTGGAGTAGACATTAAAACTTAGTAGAATTTAAAATTCTCCTAAGATGTTATACTGTGGAAATATGCGATTTATTCTGTAATAAAAAATAGATCCTTATAAGGATAATGATACTCTAGAAAAGAATATGACTTATTTATCTATAAAGTAGTGGATAAGATTGAAGATTGCTCATTTCATTAACAAGTTAACATCTAGATATATTTATACAACACGTTTTTAGTAGGAGGATATTTTGTACCACATTGTACTTCAGCCGCTTTGTATGGAGATTTTTTTGTAGTAGTTACCATTACAAGCACAACCTTCCACCACTGGAGTAAGTCCACTATTAACATAATCTTTACAAGTTTGGATAAGTGTTTGTGTTGATAAGGTTTGACAATTAACGGTAGGCAATTCTACACTCATACCCACCAATGATGGCTAATTTGAAGTGTTTATGGATTCAGAACTGAAATTCAGCTTCAGCACGACCATCTTTTAATACCAGCATGATCTCATTATCAGTAGCTTATGGGATAACAAATTTTTAACGAAATTTTTCAGCCAAGTATAGTATCAGTTTATCCAATTTTGAATAAAATAGCTCCATTTTATTTGATTTTCAAATGTTTTCTCTTTTGATACTGGTATGAGAAGTTGAAATTAAATATTCAATATCTTTCTTATTTCTTTTCGTTTTACGTATTGCATCATCTTTATAAAGATCTATTTTTTATTACAAAATAAATCTCATATTTTCACAGTATAACATCTTAGCAGAATTTAAAATTGTACTATAATAGAAATGAAAATTTTTATTTCTGCCAAGTTTGAATTTCTACCCCAACGCATGTTCTTATCTATTTCAAAAATCTTCTGGCGTATGTTCCAGCTAAAAAATTCAAACTGAAGAAAAATCGAGAATAACTAAAATCTGATAGTAAAATAAAATTTAAAAAAGTATTCAAGTTTCAGTTTCCTCTTCATTGTACAATGTGTTTCGTAGATTAAATCCACAACACTGATATTGTTCTCATTTATTGATTTACTTTATGAATGTTGAGTTTATGCGAAGAATTTGTTAATATTAGAATGTTACAGTTGTAAAAATGACTTGAAGTTAATAGCAAACACAATAACTACAAGATTAATTCGATTTAGTTCATAATATATAACACAACATCAAAACTATTTCTTTGTTAGTTTTTGAAATTTTATGTTATTTAAAAGAAGATAAAACTGTATTTAGCTTAGAATACAATAGAACTGTATCCATCATTGTCATATATGAAAAGTATTAGAACTTCAGCATGTTAGAATACATAGATTAGATTAGTAATCTTTTAGAGAAAATTGTTTAATAGCTCTTCACCAACTCTCCATTGAACGAGACTCATCAACATTTAATGCAAAAATATTTGTTGCAGAATCAATACTTTGTTTAGAATTATGGACTTTATCGTATCAAACGATCAAATCATGCCGTACGAACAACACATTAGGTCATATTGTCGTGTGTGTGTTCGTTGAAAATATTCTGAAGCATGCGTAGCAAAACAATATTGATCGATAAGAGAGAAAACAAAGAAATGGATGAACAACGTTTAGGCCTACCTTATTAGTACAATAGTTAAGTTTTCATACCTTTTCCTTTTATATTTCAAATTCCTACTTAACTTAACAAATCTTGTGGATTCCTTATTTACTTTTTGATTCTTTATTTATTTTTCTTATAATAAATTGATCTTCATACTAATAAAGTTATTTCTTCTAAGGAGAACATCTGAATGTTTTACTAATATTTATGTATTAAAATCTGACCATTATACTACTGACTATGTAATATATTGACTGATCATTTCCATCTTTATTTACTGACTATTTCATGTATTCTACTGACTACTTAAATGATAGCCGAAAATAAAAGATCATAATCCGATTTGATTAAGCAAAAAAAACAAAACTTTTTAATAAAAAATAACAGTAGCCAAAGAAGGCCATTTAACAAAAAATAATCCAAAAATATGTCTTTATACGCTCGAATAATAAAAAGTAAAAGAAAAGAAAAAAAATATAAATAACAAATTGTTAATTAATGAGAAATTTTCTGTCGTTTTGTTGATTTTGATTTTGATCGACTTGGACGTTTATCGATTTCTTCGTCTTCTTCGTCATCTTTAGTTGGCTCTTTTGGTCGTTTTGTTGATTGCTCTAAATAAATCAAACAATACTTTAAAGAAGAAAATATTCATATAATACTCACGAGTTTCTTCCATTTTATGTGTTGCACATATAATATCTGTAAAATGGAATGTTTTTTCGTTTTGTTTGATTAATAATTGACAAACAAGCCAGCTAGCTTGCAAGTTAAAGTTTTTAACAAGCTCTTTAGCTTCATGTACCCCCGTGACTGTTCCGTTACCACGTATGTCTAATGTTAAATAAATATTAAATATATATTCAGTGTATAGAAAAGAAAATTATAGTACCACTAGCAATTTCCAATAGCTTAAGTGGCGTCAATTTACGATTATATTCTCTAAGCGGTCTTTTAGTTATTGATAAATCTGACAATCTAAATGCAGAATAAATTAAAAATCGTTTTAATAAAAAAGATCTGATCTTACGCTTTGATTCCTTTGCTAATATCATCTGAAGTTACAGGAATATAAATAGTTCCATCGCTGAATCCTCGTGCATCGTTAGAAAGATATCCTAATTTATTTGAATGAAGATATGCTTTGTCTGATGGATTTTCGGTCCATGCAGCTAGTAACAATCGAATCACAAATTTTTGATTAAAGCTCAATTCAATGTGTGTTAAATTGGATATCTAAAGAATAAAAATGATATTTAGCAAACAACTAAGAAGAAGATGAAAAATATTAACATACATCAATAACTATAGGATTTGCAAGAGATTCATTTGCTCGACGTCGACCATCAGATTTATAGCGAAGACGAATAGAAGTTAGTGGATGAGTTTTAATAGTCATTAATAGTTTTGCAATCAATTCGTTAATTTTTTTTAAACTTGCTTCTTCAGCATGGTGCTCTGTATCATCCAGACTGGATTCAGATGATGTATCAGCAACTGTTTCCGTGCTATCTTCGTCCTCGTCTGTAAAAAAAACATTGCAAATAAGTTTTAAAAAGTAAACAAATTTTAACAAACCAGAAGTAGTTGTAGTAACAGTCATCGCATTAACTGGTTCTAGAATATTATCAAAATTAATTATTTTGGAAAAAAATCATGAAAGAAAATACCGGGACAATAGTGTATAACCTCCGAGGATTGACCACGACATAATTCTTCAACAACAACATTATTAGGCATAATTGATACTGTTGCCTGTCCGTTAAGACTAGAAGAAGTGACGTCTTCATTATTAAGAAGATCGTCTGGACTTTGGAATGATGGCGGTAAGTATATATTCAAATCATTTCTCGAGCTGATATTTGACCACTCAAATTGAACTTGATCGAACAACAGCATTTGTATATCGTAATCATTTCTCGACTTGTTGTCTAAACATTGAGATTGATCGAAAGACAACTTTGTATCGAACTGATCATAATCCTCATCATCATATGTACGTTGGGGAACTAAAATTAATACAACGAAATTAAAATAATGACTATATTAATGTGTTAATTTACCATCATCATAAGGTTGATATTCCATATCTACTGCAAATTTTTATCTAAAAAAAAACAAGATCACTATGGCTATTAAAAGAAATCTAGCATTTGATTTAAATATTTTTTCCCCTTCAATATTTGATTACTCACCTTGTCAAAAAGAATCTGATTAGTGAAATAAGACTCCTATAATGTTGAGACGAAAAATATAGGTGTCTTGAGTTGATTTATAAAAGACCTCAACTGCTTGTAAAAGGTTCTCACCGGCAATACTAACTTTCAACTAATATACATTTGTTGTCATATTCAAATGATAAAGCTTAGAAAAAAAATATAAATTAAATATAAGAGAGGAAATAATTGAAGAAGAGAAAGAAAGAAAAATCGCAGGCGTATCGATTGAGTCACGAAAAATTTTAACTCGACGATTGAAGGACAAAAACTGTCTGCAATGATTAATATTGAGTAAATAGTGTTATTTTAAAGCATATAACAGCGTTTTTTTTGATAATTATCTTTATCGTCTAAAATATAGATATATCAAAATATATATTCATATAGAATAGGACAATATACGAAAGATTTCTTTTTACATGATTATTAAAATCATATATTTTCAATGTCTATTCAGATATTACACATCTATGACAAATAAACAATTGTATTCATATATATTCTTATTTGTTTCAACAATCTTTTAGCGTATAGTACAGTAAAAAAAATTCAAGCTAAAGA